TTTGGCGTTTCATCCTCACCCTTAACGACTTTCGCGATTAAATAAATAACAATATGTAGTAAATATCAAACCCTGCAAAATCTAATATTATTTGCGTTAATATTATGTAGTTGAGACATAGAAGTGAAGGCTCAACATGGGCAGCACAGCATTCACTATGAAATGATCCGATAAGCTCTTGAAACCAGGTAGACCGTGAGGTCATAAGCCCATCTAAGCAACATGTAAATGCGGTTTCTGTACGGATGTTAATATCATCATCGTTCTCGTCGAACACGTCGCATGCGACGAAGGACTCGGCGAGTAAATTAATCCACAGACATATCCCATTGAGTTTCTCGCCGGATCTTCTCAGTGGGTCGCGTTTCCGATCCGGCAGTAGATTCTGCGGAGCACGGCTCTTGCTAGGGTTCGTGTTAGCCACATCGTCAGGCTTGAGCCTCGTGAGCTCACCTACTAGTTAAGGTTACGATTATGGTCTCTCTAGACCATCAGTTTAGGTATAGCTTAGGTATAAAAAAAAATTTGTTAATGTTAATTTGTTTTTGCTGAGGAATTAATGAACAATTTCACGGGATAGCAAGTAATTGTTTTTATTTATTTATTCATGTTTTCTTAAATTACGTTTCATCTCAGTTATCAAAATAATGCATATAAATACGGTTTCTGTATGGATGTTAATGTTCATTTGTTTTTGCTGAAGAATCAAAGAATTATTTTATGGAATAGCAAGCAATTGTTTTTATTTATTTTTTCCTCATTTTCATTTCATCTCAGTTATCAAATAATACAGTTGTTGGCAATCAGAGAAGCGTAATTAGCATAATACGTGGAATTATTAAGGGATACTTACGATCAATCACTCACCGAAATGTTCTGAGACGCTCTGGATAAAACAAGGCTGACGTTGCAATTTCATTCACTACCGATAACCGATTGACTGACTGAACGCCGTGACTGGCCTAAGATATGATACCTAAGATATGTATATATATGGCCTTAGAGAGAATAGCCTCACAAGGCTCTCAGCTTAGGTAGGAAAAAAAAGATTTATACATATATATTTCTCAGATGGGTGGACGAGCTCACAGCCCACCTGGTGTTAAGTGGTTACTTGAGCCCATAGATATTTACAACGTAAATGCGCCACCCACCTTGAGACATAAGTTCTAAGGTCTCAGTATAGTTATATATATAAGTATATACCTATAAATGTACATTACTAATGTATAAAGACTAGTTATCAATGAGGAATGAAAGCTTTGCAATATATCATAATTTTATTATGCTAGATTGAATCTAATCGAATAGTTTGTGTAGTTAACGATCCCATGGTAGGAGAGACCACACATAACGGTCTTTGTAAATTAAATTTACTAGTAGCATGGTGGGCGATATGATGATGATAAGATGATTACAGCGGGATTCTAGTTCTGAGAAGTTTATTTTGCGACTCATCGTGAATACGAATATACATTGAGCAGTGCCTGCTTACTAAAATTCTACTTATACGTATAAGTAGAATTTTAGTAATATTTACAAAATGTTTGAGAGCTTTGCGCGAATGTCTTTGTTGTAAAATGCTTTCAAATTCTTTGTTTATTATTTTCAAACATTTATTAAACACCGCGTACTTGTCTTATTTTAAACAAGCGGCCCGCTCCGGCTTCGCTCGGGTCTTTAACTAAAATTTCAAAGATATTTTACGTTATTTCATTTAAAAAAATAAAAGAACTCATATTGTGGCATAACTATAATAGTCAGACATATGCTGTCACGACATTTTTTGTAAATAATAACGTGTTCTATAAAGTCGTAGTACATTATTTTATTCTATCATCAATAGTTTTCGCAGGGCACGCGATGTAAAGAATATTTTTGGTTTTTTTTTTACACTTTGTGTTACATTATTGGAGTTTTAATAAGGATACCTAATTTAAAAAAAATATATAGCCTAGGCCACTCCGGAATAGTGTAGTTTCCAAACAGTGAAAGAATTATTCAAATCGGTTTTGTAGTTTCGGAGCCTATTCAATATTTCAATTACGCCCGTCTGGTGTAGTGGTAAGTGACATGGTCACTACACAAGGGGGTCGCGGGTTCGAATCCCGTCAAGGGAAGATATTTGTATGATAAATATAAATGTCTTTTCCAGGGTTATGGATGTATATTAAATATATGTATGTGTATAATAAAAATCTTACATTTATATCCGTTATCTGGTACCTGTAACACAAGTTCTTTACGAACTTATCACGGGACCAGTTAACGTGGCGTGATTGTTAGTAAATGTTTATTTATTTAAAAAAATAAATTAAAAAAAATACAAACAAACAATCTTTATAATACCTATATTAGTATAGATTATATCGTTTTACGTCAAGACCTATGCGAGGGCAAACAAAATTAATAAAGATTTAAAATTTATTTTGATAAATCGGTTTCAGAGGTAGAAAACGCTTCACTAGATTTTTAGGGTGCTAGTTTCAGGAATTGATAGATATTCTATTTAGCAGCCTATCTAATTTATAATTATTCTTATTTTAATACATACACCTGTCGCTTTGTTAGTTTGTTGGTACAATATAATGATGGACAGTTATAACTGTAACAAAAAAATGTGAGAACTACATTATTCATTATAAAAAGGTGTTTTCAGTCGTATGAAGTCGTCGTGGCCTAAAGGATAAAACGTCCGGTGCATTCGTATGTAGCGATGCACCGGTGTTCGAATCCCGCAGGCGGGTACCAATTTTTCTAATGAAATACGTACTCAACAAATGTTCACGATTGACTTCCACGGTGAAGGAATAACATCGTGTAATAAAAAGCAAGCCCGCAAAATTTTAATTTGCGTAACCACTGGTGGCAGGATCTCTTGTGAGTCCGCACGGGTAGGTACCACCACCCCGCCTATTTCTGCCGTTATAACTATACTTGAGACCTTAGAACTTATATCTCAAGGTGGGTGGCGCATTTACGTTGTAGATGTCCATGGGCTCCAGTAACCACTTAACACCAGGTGAGCTGTGAGCTCGTCCACACATCTAGACGATAAAAAAAAAGAACTCTTGTAGTAAATTTTCGAGCCTAAATTTATTATAAAAATACCTGTGGCACGCAAAAGTTGATGGCATCATCGTGCCTATTTTTAAGTTTCGTACCGACAATTATTGTTTTCCAATACATTTGAGAAATCGACCTCATTTATTAGATAGTGGAATTTACGTTGCGGCCTATGTAGACTCCAGTAACATTTTAAAATCAATGAGCCGAGAGTCCGCGACTGCAGTTTAAAAAAAGATGCACATTTGAAAGATTAGCTCGAAAAAAAACAATAGTTTCAAAAAATCACTTCCCTAAAGTGGATTTACAGACAAATCCATTTTTTGTACAAAGTTATAACCTCGCAGGATTTAATCCCTATATACCTGTATAGTTCGTAAATTGCTAACGAACGTTTTATTATACACACATGAATACATATAGTTTAATGAACACATGATGAAACAAAATTTCGATAAATTAATTATTCAAAATTCTATTACTGTTCTGTTTTAGTAAATCATAAATAGACTTTATTTTAAATAAATTTATAGACATTTATTTTTAGTTCCAAAATATCAAACTAAAATAAAGTAATGCACTTAAATCCCAACTTTATTGTATTTTTGGAAAAACATATTACGATTCTAAAATCCCATGTTTGGATTTTAGGATCATAAACTTACTAAGGAAAAATATATGTTACAAAATAATAATAATAAATTAAACTACACAAAAAATAAACGAAAATTAAAATCTTAAACTATTAAAATCTTAAAAAAAGAAAACGATTTTGGCATTCACAATTTTAATTATCCTGTCAATGTTTAAATAAAATTATTATATATATTTTTTCTTAAATCCGATTTCCCTGGAAATATTGCTGAAGCCTCCGCAGCAGCCTCATTGAGTTGCAACTCCAAGGGGTGGGTGAACCCTCCCCGCACCCTTCACAGGACAGGCTTTAGGAGCATGTTAAATACACAATTTTAAGCCCTATAGGAAGCTAAAAAATTTGTACATTTTTATTCTTACTTCAAACAATCATAACTATACTCTCATAGCTGAAGACTGGGGGCCCTTGTGATGTACTCGTTTGAATGTTGACTACGAACCACAGTATAAAATATTAAGCAAAATTTTGTCAAAAAATAAAATAATCTCTAACAAACATTTGAATAAACAACGTTAATTGGAATATTTTTAATGGACATTCATTAAAATAATTTCCTAATTAGCTTAAATGAACTTAGAATATTCAGCAAAGGAAAAAAACGATTGTCACAATATCCACATGACTGCTCTAAGTAAAAAGGTAAGTTGTTTGACAAATAAGTTAAAATTCTAGAAATATTTCAAGATTAGCTGCGATATTCGACTACGAAAATAACTATATTCTCAATAAAATCTATTTAAATCAATACAATTAATCCACCTGTCCTGTATAGAGTTCCTTAAGTTAAAAACCCTAGGAACTGCGGAATAAAATATAAATATAAGATTTTCGGTCGTTGAACCCTGTATCCATACAATTCTAAGTTGTCGCAACCTGTTGCTTCCAAATATTCAATGCCAAACTTTCTCCACTGGTTTATTCGCGTCTTCTATTATATTTGCATTGATTCAATTTGATTTCCAAACAATATTCTTTAATTAACTAAGACTTCACGGTAGGCAGCGGCTTGGCTCTGCCCCTGGCATTGCTGAAGTCCATGGGCGACGGTAACCACTCACCATCAGATGGGCCGTATGCTCGTCTGCCTACAAGGGCAATAAAATAAAATAAAAAAAAACTTCCTCTTACCCCCAGCTTCTAGCTATAGTGCTAAGTGAATAATATTTATTGTACATAAATGAATATGCCTTATTACCTATATACCAAAAAATAAATATGTATGTGCTCCAAAACAAGTTGGCCATGTTTTATCGAGTGCTTTATCGATTAATATCTCACCATGGATTGGATGTTAGAAAAAGGTCGGCCCGAAGTCAAGCTGTAAAAGACTACCTCCTGTTTCCATGGTAACGAGCTTAGCGTCGGCATTCAAACAACCCCTGCCCCGCCGCATCCTTAGATGACGCGCAGCCTTGACCTAGTTTCAAGTTCAAGCATCCCAAGGTCAATGGCAAGTCGAAATACTTGCATATCCAAGATAAATTTTGTTTTAAAATTCATTTCCAGCATTATCTAACACTAGTGGATTATAAAAAAAACGTATGAAAACAGCGCATTTTCTATAAATTGGGCTTTAATCTTTAATTCGGTTTTTATCATCACCACATTTACCAGTTTGTGTAATTGAAGCCTGGTTTTTGATGTCATACATTATATATATGGAATTAAGGACGTCAAAAATTATACGCAGGCCGGCCCTGGCCACATACAAGGTGATAACAGATCGTGTTTGGAGATGCGCCTTCCATCCGCTAGTCACCTGTAGGATCTCGATCAGAGTACCTGTGGGCGAATTCTCTCTAATAAAAAAAATATGTTTTATTTTTTAAATAATTTAAATATCATAGATAGTGTAGTAAAATCATAATTTCATATTTTTGCTCTTGTTTCGTCGTATTTTTGTCTGATTCATTAATTACAAAATGAGTTCGTTTTTTGAATTCGAACCGCCGCGTCGCCGTAATCACGATCACAGATACGCAGGGGTAGATGAATGTTACCTCTTTAGGGGAATGTAAGTCTTTTCTTAATACATTATTTAAATTAATTTAAAAAAAAAAAAAAAGTTGTTGCATTAAAATTAAATGATAGTTAATTAATTTGTTTTGATTTATTAATTTTCAATTAAAAAAGTATCATTTCACTTGTGGTGTAATTTTAATTTAATATTATAACAAAAAAATATTTTGATAAACTTATATTAAATAAAAATTCCGTAATACACTATGGTTTTAATTTTATGAAAGCCTTTTGGAAGCTCTGCAAAGAAATAAAAAATAATTTCTACGTTAACTTTTGACATGTCTAATGTGCTTTCATACGTGCTTTTTTCCATAAATTTATATAGCTTTTTATGTTTTCTTAATTTATAATTTATTTCTGATTTTCCCATTAAGAAATTAATTTAATTTTAGTCCATCGATTTTGTGTTTCTTTTTTTGGGGAATTATAGCCAAGACATATTGTGTGATTAAAAAAAAAAACAAAAAACTAATGCGAGATTTTTTTCTTTTCACAGATATGCCTTCTTTCTACTGAGAAATGAAAACAGAAGGAGAGCAAGTAAGTGACTTAGTGTCAAAAATGCTTCATTTCGAATACACACATAAAAATTATGCATTTACTTAAAACATTTATATTAAGTCAATCAATACAATTACGTATATTTCATTAAAACTATTGCATTATATGGATTTTGAATGAAGTTCATTTTTGGCTTTTCTTTTTTTTTTTTTTTTTTGTTGGCTTCCCTGTATGCGTACAGTAGAATTGAACGAGAATTTTCAGGGGCGGTTTTGTTCTAGCCAGAAAAAATATGTAAAATGGTTTGTTAGCGTGAATAGATTGTTACGGGATTTTATTTCATGTATGATCGAGGACAATGGTTCATTTTACTAGGAATAACAAATGTTTTCCTGAAACGTTATATAGTAAACGAATAGGCACAATGTGAATTTCGAAAACTAATACTTCGAGGAAACTTATTGATGCTGTCCTTGGGCTCGGTCTCTATGCGGTAATCATGGGATAAGATTTTTTTTAACAGGAAGAAAACACTTATATCAGTACGTTTGAATGGCAAGTGAATTCCGCTGTGCAGCATACATACATGTATTATGCGAGATTAATAAGACTAGTGATTCTTAAATCATAAAGCTTTAAATTGATATAAAAAGCTAATAATTCCGAATGACATGAATATAACTTGAAAGATGAATATCAAATTCTAAATTCAAAAATCTATATGAATAATGTTGGTATTTACAAAGCATTTTAATCGCGCATAATAATTGATCCTTTCTGCTTCTTTGTTTATAAATATTTTCAGCAGCATCTCAGCTTTTAGCTACATTTACTCTGCGACCTATATCCGATCTTCACTATAATTAGGTATCAAATCCAAAACTAATTTATTAAGAAAATATCAATATCACTTTTATAATTAACATTTTTACTTAGTATAGGTACTTACTAATTACTTACTACTTACTACTATTTACTTATAACAATAAACTATTTCAAAATATTCTCTTGAAATTATTAAATATATTTAAAAATCGCTCGAGGAAATAGTTCACGTGCAGTTTTAATATATTATTTTTCAAGCGAAAGATTCAGACGAATTAATTTCAATTTGTGCACAATATTTCCTAGGACGATCCAAAACTTTTCTTTTATTTCACTTTGATTACGGAGAATATTCACAAAGGGGAGATAAAGCATTTTGTGACAAACGAAAATATTTGCTATAAGCTGGAACATTTTGTTTTATCTATGAGAAAACAAAATGAGAAAATAAACCATTCCAATGATGGATTGCAGCGTGAATTTAAAAGTAGATAATAAAATTAATAAAATTCTTTTAAACCATTCCAATTTCGTCGCAGTAATAATAAAGAGTTTTATTTCGAATCTTTAAAGAATGGTTGTCTTTTCCGTACACCGTTATTCTGTGTACATCCTTGAAACTCATTTCTCTACTACCTTAAGTAATTTATAGAAAACACGGATTTATTCTAAAAAAATAATGATAATCTATATTTCGGCAATAATTTGTGATTTTCAAACGATTTTTAGACATTACTCTATTTTTTTAATTCCTCCGAAGAATATCTATTTCGTCGTACAGAAATAACTTGTAATCTTAAATAATGAACTCGAAAACGATATCAATAAAAATCGATTTTCCAAAATCGGTAAATATCCCTATTTTCAATAACGACAAGAGATTTATGCGTTTTAAATCGGATTTAGTTTGAATGTATCTGATGCTCTGTGAATTCGATTAGTCCTATAGGACAGCTGGTGATTGACATTGCAATAAATTAATCGTCGACCATACTGGAAAAGCGGAATCTAATTGGGACATGTTGCGATAAAAAGCTACAAATATTTTTTTAAGTGTAAGTTAATTTTTTATTTAAACTTTATGATTTTTAATTAAATATTTGTTAGTTGATTTATTGTTTATTACTTAATTATATGTAATGATTTGTAATTATGTCATACATTATTTAAATTATCTGTAAAATAAATAAAATGATGCTTAAAATTCTTTCGTAGTTTTTATTTCCCTCTTTTGTCTTGTGAGTAATACGACTATATTAAAGTATATATTATTAGTATTGTAATCTTTATGATTTGTAATTAAATATTTGTTAGTTGATTTATTGTTAATTACTTAATTATATGTAGGTAATGATTTGTAATTATGACATACATTATTTAAATTATCTGTAAACTAAATAAAATTATGCTTAAAATTCTTTCGTAGTTTTTATTTCCCTCTTATGTCTTGTGAGTAACGAGCGTTTTATTATAAGATTTATTTTCTTCTTGTTCTTGTGTGCTTTTGAACTTTTCAGAAAAATCCTAACGAGTACAATTGAATTTGAAGACATCTTATTTATTATTTACTAGGATATACCTATAGATATTACGAAGTCACCAGATTTGAGTAATTCAGTAACTTTTTTTTTATTGTCACGACCTGGATTTATATTCATTTAAATCAACTTTGTTTTTAAGCGGGTTACTCTGAAAGTGCTTTGATTTTTTTCGGGATTTAGAGTTGTTTGACACTCTGTGGTTCATAAACTACAAGTTTTATAGCAATGGCTACCATAGCCTTTGCTATGCGTATGCATTTTTGTGTATGCGATGGTAAACAATTATGTTATCAATCGGAACTGCATGATTGCGTTCTTAATGAGCGCCTACATCACACATCCATGCCGAGTTTGAAGTGAATCTAACGGACAGTTCTCGGATCTTATTTTATATATATTGTTGATATAAAAATTACGACAATCAACCTAAGCATAATTGAAATTAAATATACAACAATAAAAACTTTAAGTACGTATTTTATTTCAATACGCTTCTTATTTTAAATCAATGAATTTTCAATAATTATTAAGCTATTACATAGACTTTATCGCGGGCTTTGACGACTGAATCCGCCGAATTCCGTAATGAAAATAACCTGACACCCCCACTACACCTATTATGTAGCTCGCGTTCAACACAATCAAACATTGCGCTTGTGTAGTGTTTGTGAATAAGCGCGTGGCGTGACGTCACACTGCATGCACATCATGAAAAGTCTGCCCATCTCTCTCTCGCGCGGTCTAGCTTATGAGTGTGAAGGGGACAGTTAAGGTTTTGCTTTTATTAATGTTTAATATAGCGTGGTCTTGTTTTATTATTGTTTTAATATTAAATTATAAATGCTATGCAATAGATATATATAAATATATATATAAATACAATGGACCGGTCGCACTGGAAATCTATTGGAGAGGCCTATGTTCAGCAGTGGACGGCGATAGGCTGAAATGATGATGATGATGATGATGCAATAGCTTTCCCGCGGCAGTTCCCGAGTGCCACACGTTTTTGTATTTATTATTGATCTGCCCCCGATTCTGTCGATTTTAAAGGGGGAAGTTGGAGAGGTTAGGCTCTGCTGGGGGCGTTGCTGGCTTGCACGAGCTACCTTGACCATTTGCCGTCAGTACAGTACAGTATACTCATCTCGTCATCATAGTCGGTCATTTTTGGCAGAGCAGTCGTGGTCATGTGGAATTCTTCTTTATTAAGGCCTTGACAAATGTTTTCCATAATTTGCGAACTGAGAATGCGCATGCACTCGTTAAGTGGGATTTTAGTAAAGTGTTTCACCTGATCAGTCCAGCGCGTGGGGCTTTGTCCACGAGATCTTTTACCATTGACTATATATATCCATATACTCATCTACATTATATTAATTTTTATTGTTTTTAAAGTATGTCTTTTTTTATTGATTATATGGCCGGACGAGCTCACAGCCCGCCTGGTGTTAAGTGGTTACTGGAGCCAATAGACATCTACAACGTAAATGCACCACCCACCTTGAGATATAAGTTCTAAGGTCTCAATATATATTCGTTACAACGGCTGCCCCGCCCTTCAAACCGAAACGCATTACTGCACCACGGCAGAAATAGGCAGGGTGGTGGTACCTACCCGTGCGGTCTCACAAGAGGTCCTACCACCAGTTATGTCTCAGTAGGGATGTTTTTTTTTTATCACGTTGATTATTTTAGTTCTATGTGGTCGTTGTTATATTGTCGTTTAAACTTATATCACCACAATATACACATATATATATATATAGCTTACCTGATATTAAGTAAGTTAAATAGTTACGACTGATTAGCGACAGAAACAGATAAAATGGCAGTATTTACATAGATATCAGAAAATGATCACCAAAAAGAAAATAGAAACAGAAGTAGAACAGAAAGAAATAGACACAGTTGATAGCATTAAAATTTATTGAGGCATCAATAACCGAAAATACGCTTATGTTGTTATCGCGCAAAGAGCGGTAACTCAAAAATAGGAATTTTTCGAGCGTTCCCACGAACTATACGAGTATCAATAACCAATCGCGTAAGCTGTTTCACTTAATTAATAAAATTTACTCGACACTTACCGTTATTGTTCGAAACTTGTGTGTTTTCAAACTTGTTCCGAAAATGTCATTCGTGAAATTCAGACATCAGTCAAATATCGTGGGCTCTGAGATAGATACGCGTTACATCTTAAACAAAATACCAGTTGAAGTCGAAAAAAAAGAAGATAGAAAAACTATAGTAGAAAGCGAGTTGTACAAATACCTATAGTTTTAATATTTCACGAACGCAAATAATCTGACTTCTTAAACAGTATTACAGTCACGCTAAGCGGAACGGTCACGAAAAAAAAAAAGAATTTTGTAATTATTATTTTTCACATTCACTTACTGGTGGTAGGACCTTTTGTGAGTACGCGTGTGGCACGGGTAGGTATCACTACCCTGCCTGTTTGTGCCGTGAAGCTTTCGGTTTGAAGGGAGGGGCAGCCGTTGTAACTGTACTGAGGCCTTAGAACTTATATTTCAAGGTGGGTGTCGCATTTAACACCAGGCGGGCTGTGAGCTTGTCCACCCATGTAAGCAATTATGTAAAAAATGTATATAATATATATAAAATTGTTTAAGCTAAATTGTAACTAACATTAAAATCGATTAAAACACT